CCACCCCACCCCACCCCACCCACGCACCAGGGTCCCTCCCAGCAGCAGGATCGCCCTGGGATATTCAGCCGAGGGAGGGAAAGGCGCAGATCTTTTCTGAGAAAAGGACTCTGCTAGGAAATCATAGGAAGGGTTCCGTGGAGAGGAAATAACAAAAAGATCTTTTCTAATCCACATCTTGTCGGCCAGTCTGCTAAGCCTCACAAGCGTGGGTGAGGAACAGGAGACAGAGAGTTTCCCCCAAAGCCCCCCGCCGTTCCCCGTCTTCTCCGGGGTAAAGCGCAAGGAGCACCCCCACGAAACTAAACACCCAACAGCTGGGCCCAATCCCAACTCATTAGGAGTATCTCCTCCCTTCCTCTGGCGGGAAACACCGGCCTAAGATCTCATGGGCTCTAAGCTAACTAGCCACCATGAGCACACACAGACAAACAGCCGAACTCTTTCGTGACTGAAGGGATTGAAGTAGCAGACTCCAACGACGGCCCTCTCCAGGGGCGAGGGGCCCAGTGGCTCCCAAATGCTCCAATTCTCCTGGGCACGTCTCCTGCCCCCCCCCCCAAGAGGGCTGCCTCCCACTTCCCCAGTAATGGAATGATGTTCTTTGTTATCCTGCGCTAAGCCGCTTAGTGTCAATGGCTCTTCCAGCTGGCCCTTCCAAGCACACGCCTGAGCCGGCCGAGCCAGCGGCCCCCCAGCGGCACTGGACAGAGTCTCCCCGAAATAAGGCTCTGCGGGCAGTGTTCCCTCTAAGCTGAGTTGGTGTGAGCCAGCTCACAGTTTTTTAGCCTCCAGCTCACACCTTTTTTGTCTCCGCTCAGGAAGGATGGGGCTCCAGAGCAAACCGGTTTATGCAGGAGCCAAACCGCTCGCTCACCGCTTTAATGCCAGGAGGTCACAACGTAGAATTTTTGCTCACAAAACTCCACAGCTTAGGGGGAGCATTGCCTGCAGGACTCTCTCAAACCAGGCAGCATTCCAGGCAGGGAGTTGGGACCAGAAACCACCTTTTGCCCCCAAACTGTGGCTGGGCCAGAGCAGCTATTCCACGTGGGACGGCCTTGGAGAAGGGTCTGAGAACTCCGCCTGGCCTGGAACAGGCAGTGAGGAGGCCTAACACACACACCCCAGCCCCGTTGGAAGCCTCCTGGATGTCTGGCAGAAGGCCTCCCCTCGGGTGAGCGCTCGGATCCTCCCCGGAGGCGTCTCCCAGTGAGGAGGGCTGGTGTTGATGGCTTCAGCCGCTGGAGGCCACTTCCCAGCCCCCAGGTGGGTGGTGACACAGGCCATCCCGCTGCTCACTCCCCGCTCCCAATTTGGGGCATTTGCTGAGATCGCCGAGTGCATCGCCAGCTCAAAGAGGGTTGTGTGTGTGTGTTTCTTAAGAAAAAGAGCAGGATTTTGCAGCCAAGCTCATGCATAAAGAATGGCAGGGATACGACCCAGTTGCATTAATTTTTAGCAATAAATAGCGCCACAGTGTTTAGCTCAGCTCCCGTCACATCTGTAGAGAGAACTCCCACACCTGAGCAAACATCTCGGGCAGATGGGGGGGGGGCCAGCGGCAGCCTGGCAAGTTGCCCCGGTGTGTGTGGGGGGGGCAAACTCTGCAGCCCAGCCAGGTCGATCCAGGGCCCCGCCGGACCCTCCCAAGCAACCCTTCAGGGACGGCCTGCCTCTCAACTTCCGCAGGGATCGCATTCCAGAGCACACTGCCCAAGAGCTGCTGGGGGGGGGGGGGGCTGGCGCCCTCCAGAATATCCCAGGCCCTTCCCCAGAATTGTCGGCCTTGGTTTCATGCCCTAAACGGGCACAGTGATGTGGCCGCCAGCCGGCCCTGGCACACGAGTCCAGGGAGCACTGCTGCGGGGTGGAGCAGCTCGGGGCGTCCAATGACCAGCTCAGTCAGGTGTGTGGACCACGGACCTCTGGAAGCAAACAGACATCTCAAACGGAGCGGAAGCAGAGCACGAGCTTTTCGATGCACGCAGGGAAGCGACACAGTCAGAGCTCGGGTTGCCAATCTGCAGGCGGGACCTGGAGATCTCCCCTTGTTACAGTTATTCTCCAGGCTCCTCCTAGGAGCCCCGGAGGGCACAGAGGGTCCACCAATCAACATCTGTGGGTGGGCCCCGGCCCCAGGGACGTCCGACTAGCCTCGACCAGGGACAGGACTTTTTCGGCCCTGGCCCCCGCCTGGTGAGATCAGGGACCTGCGGGACTTATTGCCGTTCTGCAGGGACTGCGAGACGGAGCTCTTCCGCCGGGCCTTTAGCTGAGGCAACGGACGTCCCCCTCCCCCCCCCAGCTTCTCTGTCCTTCATTCTTCGCCCCAGCTTTTCTGGCCAATTGTCCACCACTGGCCTGATTTAGATCGGTCATCTGATTGTTTTATGGTTACATGGTACTTTATTATAATTACATGTAAATTGTTACCACATTGTTTTAAGTGTATGATCTAAGTGTATGTTCACTGCCCTTAGTCCACTTGGGAAGGGTGGTTGAGGGGGAGGGGATATAAGTCTAATAATTTTTTAAAAAATAAATAAATAATAATAATAATAATACGGAGCTCAGTTCCCCTGGAGGGAATGGCTGCTTTGGGGGGGGGCTCTCTAGGGCATTGTGTCACCCACCGAGGTCCCTGCCCTCCCTAGGCTCCGCCCCCAGATCACCCATGATAGGCAGCAAGGCAGGAGTGACGGCCACGGTTCCTGCCCCCTTCACCAACGGGAACTTTCTGAGCATTTCATTCCAGCCCCGTCCTGTTCGACCTCTGCAAACAGTTGGGTTCATTGCACAAAAGTTGGCCGCTGAAACCCCAAGACCGCCTAAGGTCCTGCATTCCAAAATGGAACACGTTTCACATGATGCTTGGCCTTCTGCCTTCCTAAGGGCTTCCCGGGGGGGCCACGAGGCGCATCCTCCCCCCAAAGGCTGCAGTGAGGATGCCGGCCCTGCAGCATCTGGCGACCAGCTCTCGGCCGCCCGAGGGCAACCGGCTGCCCGCTCCGGCCTTCCCGCTGACAGTCAACCCAGCCTCGCTGGAAGGAGGCCGGTGTCCCCGGGGCCCCAGCTAGGCCTCCTCGCTGGCCTGCAGGGAGACTGGGCTCAGGCACACACACACCCAGAAAATGAAGGCCGGCAGCCACATGCGACAGAGTCCAACTCTACAGCTGCTCCAGTTCGCAGTTAAGCCCCTTGAAGAAGCCTTTCGCTCTGCCTATAATTAATATTGATTTTCTGTAGTCAAAATATAGTGAGGCGGCTTAATTTTCTTGCTAAGATTTTTGACATGAGTGTTCTTGAAGATTAACGTGGGGTTTAACGGCGCCTGTGCCCCCCTCCCCGGAATCAGCTCCAGCAGGGCGTGGCTCCAGCTGCTACCCTCTTGGGGGGGGGTTGAGGGGGAGGGGATAAAGGAAGCAACACTTTCCTGCTTTCTGAGGACCCCAAGACACGTGCCGGTTTGGAATTTTCCACTGCAAAATAACAATAAACCAGTGATCCCCCTAAGCCGAGTTAGTGTGAGCTAGCTCACAGTTTTTTAGCCTCCGGCTCCCACATTTTTGTCTTAGCTCAGGAAGAAGAAGAAGAAGAAGAAGAAGAAGAAGAAGAAGAAGAAGAAGAAGAAGAAGAAGAAGAAGAAGAAGAAGAAGAAGAGGAGGAGGAGGAGGAGGTTGGATTTATACCCCGCCCTTCAAACCCGGTTCTCCCAGATTAGAGTCCACACACTTAAACACTACACCAAACTGGCTCTTTAAATCTTGCAGGAGGGGAGGGAGAGGGGCACGCTCCACCCCTCCCTCGCTTTTTCTCAGAAGCATTTAAAAGGTCCCTTTAAATGCTTTTGGGGGAAAGCGGGGGGGCCTTTAAAAAGTAGGGGGCTTTAAGGAAGGGGGCTGGCTCTTTAATAAAGAGGGGGCCCAATAGCCCCACCATAGCTTCGGGCCACCTTGCGCTCCCCCAGAGGATCAGGTGGGAGGCAGTTGGGGACTCTCCCACACGCAGGGCAGCTGCTTCCAAAGTCCCTACCTCCTGTGGCCTGCGGGGGGGGGGGGCTTTTCTCAGCCTCAGCTGACATCCCCAGTGGAACGCCTGCAGCACAGAGACAGGGACACTGTCCTGCGCACCTTAGCGGCCTCCAGCTGAGGCTACTGTAGCATGCTTTCTGCGGTGCGGCCCTTGAAGACAGTCCGGAGACTGTCAAAATGAGGTTTCCCAGCTTTCTCCAGGAACTGGGTTTTTTTTGGGGGGGAGCAGATTTCACCCATCGGCTCTGTGGGTCACCAGCAGGGAAGGAAGAACTGAGGGGGGCGCTCCAAAGGACACACATACACACTTCTCCGGCTGGCCACGCTGCCCTGCCCGGCTCCAGCCTCCGTCCGCCAGGCAGCAGCCCTTGGCTCCGTCATGCCCAGCTGGTGCCCACCGAGTTGCACCCACCGGTGGCACCCGGCTAATTGTTTTCAAGATGACTCCGGGTCGCTAATTAGGGAGCCTATTGAACTCTGCTTGGCTGAGGGACACCATTAAAAGTTTGCCCTAATTAAACAGGGTAATTAAGATAGCTGAAATTTCATGAAGTAATTAATCAAGGAACCAGAAGGAATCAATGCGGGCAGAGCGACGGCAGCTGCACGCCTTGCCGGCGTGGCTCGCATCCGTGCCCGGGCCTCGGGGGTGCCCTCCAAGAGCTCCACGGGGCCCTTTCCAGTTCCAGCCCGCTCTGGGTTCAGAACACCACTCCTGTCCCAGGGCTTCATCCTTTGGCCTCCACTCAAGGGGGGGGGCTCCTGAGCTGGCAAGCAGCCCCTGGCCAAGGCAGGGGCCCAGGAGTCTTGGCCTCTCCCCCAGGAGGGCTTCTGGCACCCACCACTGCCAGCTTCTCCCTGCACCCACTGTCAGCACCCGGGCTGGGAGCACCCACACCTGAAGGCTGCCCAGAGCTGAGCAGGCAGGCTTGCTCAGAGAGAGGGCCCTCCCCACCCGCAAAGCTCCCCCCACAGGAGAAAGGGGGGCATTAGCACCGTCCCTTTGAAGTAGGTGCCCCCTGCCCAGGGAACTGCCTTCAAGCCCACAAAAGGAGCCAGGACGTTTTCTTCAAAGGACTGGGTTGTTTCCCCACCCATGGTAGGAAAGGAGATCCCCCAAGGGATCTGTGCATCCCTCTGGGGGGAGGCACCAGCCCCCCCCCCCTGCACAGAAAAGCTGGGGGCAGGGGAGGCAAGGACACACAGAGCCCTTTAAGCGGAGACGTCTGAACTTCCCGGGCCTCCCTCCTCCTGAAAGGAGACCCCAGGCCCCCCCTCCCTCCCTCCAGAGGCCCAGGAGGGGCTTCAGGGGAGCTGGCAGGGGAGGGGCCACCTGGGCTTAGTGCCAGATCCTGCCTCTGTGCAGAAGGAAGGGTTTGCCTGGGTGCCCGGTGCCCTTCCTCCGGGAGGAGAGATCCAGGGCGCTGGTCTGACAAAGGGAGGTTTGTCTCTTGGAAGGGGGCAAGGCTCTTGTGGGACCCAGAGGTGCCCCCGGAGGACTCCTGACGGCAGCCTCTCTCTCCCCGCCCCGCCCCCCCACCTCTCCATCATTCACCCGGGCGGAGCCTGGCCTTGTTTTGGCCACTTGGGAAGCCGCTTTGCTCCTCTTTCAAGAGGCAGGATTGGTCTCAGGTCTCTCTGTTGGGTATTACAAGTTGAAAACACTCAGTGTATCTGGGGTTAAATGTTTGTTTGTGTTGCTCACAGGAAGTCACACGTTTTTTCATGTAACCAATGTTGTTTTAGGAGTACAAGCCCGGGGAAATTCTCCCTGATCTAGGAGTTTGATTGGAACCAGAGTGTCAAAGTGTTGTAGCATTTTATGGCTCCTCTTCCCGTCTTTGTTTGCTGTTCTGAAGAACAAGAAGAGAATCCATAACGCTCTTCTAGTTTTGTCTTTGTAGTGTAAGGATCTAGCCTATTTAGCTCTGTTGTTATTTTCATCCTAGTTACCCTTCCCCATGCTAGAATTTAGTAAAAACTTTATATTTTAATCACACATGGACTCTCAGTCTGAATTATTTTACTCTGGCTCTGCTGGGCTATCTTATCTCTGCTAAATACCATTTCCCCAATATCTCACTATCAAACCCAACACTATCTGGCTGATTGATGGGGGGGAGGGCCCTCCAAGCCAAAGGCCAGGCTGGACCACTCAAGGCTCCTCTGGAGAAACACCCGTCAAGACCAGTGTTCCCTCTAAGCTGAGTGAGTGTGAGCCAGCTCACAGTTTTCTAGCCTCACACACAGTTTTTGTCTCAGCTCAGGAAGGATGGGGCTCCAGAGCAAACTGATTTATGCCGTAGCCAAATCCCTGGCTCACAACTTTCATGCCAGGAGCTCACCAAGTAGAGGTTTTGCTCACAAGACTCCACAGCTTAGAGGGAGCCTTGATCAAGACCTGTAAGGGGAGGTCCCGGGCCAGTTCTCTGTCTCTCTCTCTCTCTCTCTCTCTCTCTCACACACACACACAGGGGCCTCGGTGCTATGGAAGGGCCTGTCCCCGGGGGAGCCCTTCTGCCCCGAGGGGGAGGAACCAGCCCGCTTTGCCCTCCTCCCAGGGGTCCAGCCGGCTTCAGGCCCCGATGCAGCCCCCAAGAGGGAGCCCCCCCCCCAGGCGGCTCTCTGCCCAGGGGAAGGGTCTTCCCTCCTCCTCCTCCTCCTGGGTCAAAGCCCCACCGGGCTGGCCCTCGCTCTAGCCCCCCTCCCGCCGCTCCCCAGGGGCCCCCA